TCACGATCATGGCTGAAGAGCACGGTCAGCAATTACCCATCTCCAGGCACGGGATGTTACCCAAAGTGTTTCCTACATCACCACTTCCGTCACCATCAGCAGCGACCTCGCTGGCTGCCTGACGACCCCCCAGCACAACACCCGGGTTTTGCCGCCGTGTCGTGCCGCTGGCCCTGTCTCGGGGGCGATCAGCCCGGCGCGGCGGTGCCACTGCCATGTGCCGTCCGTCGCAGCGCAGCCTGGCAGGGAGCCGGGTGCTGCCGCCGACACCGTCTGGCAGCGGCGGTCGGCGCCGGCGGAAGGTCAGAGGATCCGCGGAGAGCGCCGCGGAAACCGCCAACGGCAGCGGGACGATCGCCGACTGGCGGTGGAGCGACGGTGGGGACAAACACAGATATTAACATTGATACAAGTTACAACTCAGAACAAACACAGATGGAGGGACAACGGGTACAAACACAGACACAAACACAGATTCTAGCACAGCTACAAACAAAGACGGAGGACTAGAGCGGGACTGCAACGGAAACGATGGCGGATTATGGATGGATTTCGGTCGTATTACAGACCGTGTGGTTTTATGTCGGCATTATGCTGTATTTAGAACGAAAACAATAATTCCGGACTCGTTTCAGAAGAAGAATACGGGAGCTGATAAGGCAGTCCACCGATTGACCTCAGGGCGGTCCACCTATTCACGTGTTCGGTTGACCTACTGAGCTCGAGTTGTGATCCATTACGCCAGCACATCACAAGAAGTCCAGTAAGCTCCATATCCCACCTCTCCCTCTGACACCTACCAGCACTCTACCTGGAGTCTTCGTGACCACAGGTCGCACGGACCCCGACGGTGAAGTCCCCCAAATGACCGACCCCCGCGGCGATAATTGGTCCGCCGTGGGTCCGCCGACCGACCGGCCGAACCCGGGGGCGGACCGACGGCCGACGGCACGGTACGCCGCCCAGCACGGCTGACGGAGAAAAGAGGAAGGCAGGGAGGATAATACTATCAAGCACACATTTTTGTGTGGGTAGAGGGAAGCATCAGGAGTCCTCTTACTCCCTGTAATCAATGCGCCATTGTGGAAGCTATGCAAGCCCTAATCGGATTTTATAGCATGTGACTGAGTTATAGGAAGCATGCCAAATTATAGCCCACAGCTTCCCTCCCGTGCAAAAGTGTAGCATCAGCAATTGCCATGGTTGAGCTCCATGGACATTTCGGAACACTTAATGACCATTGTTTTGCACATACTGATTTTCAATACTATCTTACAACTTCTAATGCATGTCCAACAGAAATGAACTCGTTGCATCGCGAAGCGACAAAAGTCCACAGATACCCCAAACTCCATTCGCCATTTCCAGACCACCCCGCAGGTAACCGCACATCAATCGACAGAGCCCCACTCCTCTAGCTCTCACTCCATCTCACTCGAGCGGCCTGTCGAGCGCGGACAGACGGCTCCGGCTCCCCGTGGTCCGCCAATCGATACGGCCGCTGTCCGCTTTCAATCCTCAGTGGCGCGGCGGTCACCGGTCCCCACCCACTGCGGAGAGGTGCCGCGCCGGCTGAACCCCGGCCCACACGGACCCAGCGCGAAAAGGAAGCCTGCTCAACGTGCCCGAGACAGGTCCCAACGATTTCGCCTGGAGTCAAAATAGCATAACTATTCCAAGGTGACCATGTTGGGCTGTTTTTTTTTTATTCTGATGCGAGCTGGCCAAGGCCATGTTCAACTGTTTAGTAAAAGTAGGTAATTATTGAACAGCTATGTAGTACTTACCAGGGGCGCCGCCACGGATTTTTGACTGGGGGGGACGGACTGACCGGCTGAAAACCCAAAAGTAGACATTCTTACCGTGGCTTTTTCGGTCGGATGCATTCAACGTTTAAAGCAAATATGCCACTTTTAACATAGGGTTTTGAACTGAAGTAACAATTTTGTAGCTTGAGCTGTGACGAGAACAAATCAGGAGCTTTTATGGCCCAACGATCACCCTAGCGAAATAGATCGGTATCGATTTTAGGTTTGAAGACTGAAGTCATTCCCATAGATTATACTTTGTCATTCTCTTACCGAGGAATCCATTCCCTTACGGAAAAATGCTAGCCAATCAGCATTCAGCTGGTTTAACTTTGAACTACGTACTATGCTTGGTCAACGCGTAATCAGCTTCCGCTGCAATATAGGTAAGTAATAAGTAGCCTGTACGAAAGATGGAAAATAGTGATGTAAAAATAAATATAAAATCCTTTTGCAAATATTCATTATTTCCTGACCATTTTAAGTTTAAAAACTCATAAAACTGTGGCAAAATAACTGGTTTGAGGAAAGTAGTTTAGGTTAGGTATTTCCTTAAAGTAAAGGCTATAGACCGCATTCCCACCTAGTACCTACCTATATACATACAGTATACACATCTGATGTCCGATTCAGTTTGACACGGCAAAGCCTCGTGTTCTATCACGGTATTATTGCTGATATATGCCACTAATATGATCGATAATGCATATTGCATAGGTAATGCATATTGCATACCCGCGTGGGGGAGGGGGCGTTGTATAGTCACAAATCTCTCTTTTTGGTTGGTGTACGAATCGACGCGAAGCGCCGCGAAAATTGGCAAAAAAACATTAGGCAAAACTGCTCCAAAATACGAATTTTGCAGCCCGTGTAACAAGCTTGATACCAGAAAACCTTAGGTCAGGAAAACCAAGTCAAGTAGTCAGGTCGCCTCAAAGTTTTGTGGTCCTGTCAGCCGTATAGCTTATTTCTTAGAAGCTGGAAATTTAGTGTAGCGTGACTGCAGAAGTGTGGGGTCGGAGCCGGAATCAGTCGGAGTTGACTGTTTTTGGCCAGTTTTGGCCAGAGTCGGAGTTGAAGTCTTCGAAAATGTTCGGATTTTGACTTCGAGGTCGGATTGGTATAAAGTCATGCTCTTGGCTGTTTATACGAAATATATTAGGCCCGTGTTCGGCCAGTTGTGTTATACGACACACGTCGATCACGATATCAAAAATCGGCAGTTCCGCGATGACAGGTCGGATAAGAGCTGGAGATTTTGTTGGCCGAGGTGGCAGGGGTCAGACCAATGCATGTAGGCCCACGGCACGCCTCATATACTGAGTATCTAAACCTCCTGGACCCACCTCCGTTCCATCGCTTCCATCCTCAGGATACATAAATCCTTCTTCTCCACGCCGCAACCCCCACTTCGGGCTGGACAGGCACCTTTATCTCATGCGGGCTGCTCCCTTGGAGCGGCACCGCTGCTCCCGAGGGAGCGCACCCCGTAGCCGGGTGCAGAGAGTGCTTGGGGGGCTGGTCGGCCTGTCCTTTCGGACGGGCTCAGCCCCGGCGACTCTCTAGGGCGTCTACCCAGACCAATGTCTCCCCCTAATTCCTATCATCCTCCCGGCCCTGAAATGGTCTCGTCAGACCGAAAGAGCCTAACCCAACAAAACAAACAATCCTAGACCCTCTCAGATTCGGCACCGGCCGTTCCATCTCTTCCATCCTCAGGACAGTCAAATCCTTCTCCTCCACGCCGCAACCCCCTGCTCCGGGCTGGACGGGCAACTCTATCCCATGCGGGAATGGCTCCACGTGGAGCTATAGTTGTATGGAGCTATAGAGCTATAGCTCCAGTGCACTGGAGCTATAGTCCTTTGCCGGGTGCAGTGAGTGCCAGTAGGCTGGGCTGCCTGTTCAATTGGTCGGGTTCATCCCAAGTGGCTCACTGGTGTGGCTGCCCCGACCAATGTCTCCCACTAATTCTTTCATACTTGCGGCTCTGAAATGGTCTCATTGGACCTAAGGGCCTAATCAAATTTCGAGTAGAATAACAACCAGTAAAACGCCTTTTGGGGCGACCAACGGAGCGAGCGAGAGGGTGGGGTGGGCCTTGCACGTGCGAAATTGCGAGGGGATACCTCAAACTACCTTGTGCACTGCACCCTTCTAACCGGTCCCTAACGATGTGCCAAATTTGAGCGCAATCGGCCTAGCCGTTCTCGAGATCTGGAAGCGGTACCCTGCAAGTGCGCACGTGCAAAATGGGTCCCAACTGACTTTTGCACGGCACCTACCAACCGGTCCCTAACCATGTAGGTATCAGATTTCAGCACAATCGGTTCAGCCGTTCTCGAGATCTGGAATCGACCCCTGCATGTGCGGCGTGCGCACGTGCAGCAGCACCCCAACTGTGGCACACGGATATGCATTGCCTAGTGGGTATACCTCCTACCTACATGCCAACTTTCAGCGCAATCGGCCCAGTAGTTGCCGAGATATTGAAATTGTTACAAAACTGACACCTTTTCTGAATATTCTGATGAAGGCGCAAGTCGAAATATATTAATTTGTACTTTTCTTTTTGAATATAATTACTAATATGAGCATAAGGTTATTAATAGCATACCTAATAATTACATTCATAATGCTCAAAAGTGCCATTGCAAGATTACAAAAACTGACACCTCTTCGTTTTTCACGTGGCACGTGCATATGCCGCACACTCAAATGCATCGGGAATAGTCCGATGCTCGTTAGAAGGAATGAGTCTAGTGCTACCCTATACAAAAATTACCGCATGTAAATCGGTCAAGTGGTTGCTGAGATATAAGCCTAGCAAAAGCGTGACCACGGCATACTCAGAAATTTCCGTTAACCTACGAAAGACTACGCTCGCTTCGCTCGCTCCGTGATGAGTTTGGGGGGGGGACGTCCCCCTTCCATTCTGAGAGTGGGGGGACGCGTCCCCCCCGTCCCCCCCGGTGGCGGCGCCCATGGTACTTACTACTTATATAGTCGATTCTCGCTTCGAGTTTTTTTTTGCATTTTCCAGTTGTAAATAAAAATGTAAACGATATGTTGGGTCCAGTGCATGCGTTTTACAACAGAAGGCACCTTCCACAAAAGAAGAATGACATTCGTCAGTTGAGGCAAAATAGTTTAGTCTCGAAATGTACGTTGTCTAGTCAGATAGACGGCATGCTAATAATTGAGGGAATTTATTATAAACAAGAAGTTCCGACATCTGACAGGCAGCCACAGTTCGCTGAGGAAGATTGACTGTTAGCTTTGCCCATACAAAACAGCACAAAATTAATTACATCACACAATGAGTGCGAAAATTGACTACCAGTTCCGATCACCCACAATATATCGCTGGCGCAGTTAATTAAGGTCAAGTCAATAAAGTCGCTCAAAGGATGTCCGATACCACATGATTACCAATCACGCTGAATTCAGTGCCTTGTAGTGATCAGTTACCATTGCAAGCACTGCGGATGATACTAATGATGGAAGACACTTAGGCACAAGTTACATCGATGCCGAAAGGAAACGGGTAGCACTGACACTCGAATACGACTAGGATTTAGATATAAAACGCCGCAAGACCCTTGCTTTTATCTTGCACAGCCAAACATCGCATGGTCCCGAACAATATTTTCCATTCACGGATCAACAATGGCCGAAGGAAGGTCAGCTCAGCGCGATGTTGGCGAGTGGCGAATCAATAAACAGGCGGTAACGAGCCGGGCAACTGGCCAAATTACCGCTCCGCCGCCACCCATGGCAGAGGTGGCGACGGGTGCCCGTGACTGCAGAGAACGGTGACGACAGAGAATAATGGCGACAGCACAGACCAGTGACGACAGCAGGGATCAGTGGCGACAGAGACCAGTGACGACAGCGGGGATCAGCAACGATAGCTAGGATCAGCAACGACAGCACAGACCAGTGACGACAGTAGGGAGCAGTGACCACAGGGACCAGTGACGATAGAGGCCAGTGATAGCATGGAGCAGTGACAGTACGGATCAGAGCAGAGACTGCAGTGCCAGGAGAGATTAGTGACAGTAGGAATCAGTGACAACGGAGACCAGCGACAGCAAGGACCAGTGTCAACAACAGTCACCAGCATCAACAACAAAACAAGCATCAGTTGTATTCAGTCACACCAAAGTAGCTTACGAGTACAAAGCGCAATGATAAAGATCGCATATTGGTGCAAATAATTTATCAGTAAAACCATTATCAAGGCGGAACTATAGTTACTCTGCAGGTTACTCTAGTTTATAGTTACTCTGCAGGTTTTTACACAGAAGAACCATCCGGTCATACAATCGATACCAGAAACACAACTTCTCAAGAAACATCAATCGTAAGCTGTGATTGGGTAGAGCCTTATGAATGCCGAGGTAGGAAGAAACAACCTCACACATGCCCACACCACTGCATTACTTAACGCTCATGCACGATACACGCTGTTTCCCTGTGAACATGATAAATGAAACGGAATGCCACCCATAATCTATCCGTTTATAGTATATACTCTCTTTCACACGCATGTGTAGCAAAGCCACCGTCCAATTTTCACCATCCTATAACAAGAGTTCTGACCGTGTCCTGTCTCATTGACCGCCTTACTGTAGCAACACCGTATGCGGCGCCCATTCGCAGTCATCCCGCCCAGCCACGGCTACCTAGCCCTGGCTGGCTCCGACTAGCCTGTATCCGAGCCGGGGCGGCCGGTCGGTAAGCCACCGGCTCACCGGGCCACAAACAATGGACTCAGAGGCTTAGCGCTGTCACACCTCGACCTAGTAACGTCGGCGACTGCCGCCGGTTCCCCCTCCGCCCACCGTCCACCGCCCGCTGCTCACCGTCCACCGTCCACCACCCGACTGCAGCGACAGGGAGTCTACTGACACAGGCCCAGCTCGCGTGTCATGATGTCGCGCATGACGAACTTCTGGATCTTGCCGGTGACGGTCTTCGGGAAGTCGTCGCGGAACTCTATGTAGCGCGGTACCTTGTAGTGGGCAATCTGAGGAGGGAAAAGCGAGTGGTGAGAGAAGACACGCATCGAAGAGGTGCTTATGATGGCTTTGATTATGTACGGGAAATTATTTCCAAAATTTACGGGGCTCTGTCATTCTGCATTTTGGTGTCTCATTTCAATAGCGAGAACAAAGTCCTCTCACTGCTGGTCACCTGCAACTATTCCGGCAATTTATAGCGCATGAATTCCCTGAGATACTGCAGACTGCCAAGTGTGGACAGTTGCATCATCGAGCACCTTGCCAGTCCTAACTATACTTAGCATGCCCGTATTGCCTAAGTGCCGGGAATTTCACAAAGGGGCGGATCCAGGGGGGGCCGCTGGGGGCCGATGCCCCTAGCCTATCGAAAAATGCCGCCCCTCCGCCGCCGAAGGCGGCTGAGGGCGGCTTTTTTTGATACGTGATGAAGTGCATTTTACGGAAATGACCATTTCTTTGAGGTTCATTTCATAATAATCTCTGATAGTAACTATCTGAATTTATATTTAACCCTCAGAGTATGTCGCTTCTCTTCCTGAAGTCAGAGTGCCGCCCCTTTATTCGAAGTACCGCTACTTTGCTACCCTTTGAAGTAGGTAGTAGTGCCGCTCTCGGAAGTCGAAATGCCGCCCTCGGAAGTCGTAGTGCCGCCCTCTGTACTCGTAGTGCCGCCCTCTGAAGTCACAGTGCCGCCCTCCGCAGTCTTCGTGAAGCTCCTTGAAGTCATTGCGCCGTCCTCTGAAGTCATAAGCGCCGCTCTCTGAAGTCATAGTGCCACCCTCTGAAGTCATAGTGCCGCCCTCTGAAATCATAGTGCCGCCCTCTGAAGTCATAGTGCCGCCCTCTGAAGCACAGTGCCGCCCTCTGAAACACAGTGCCGCCCTCTGAAGCATAGTGCCGCCCTCTGAAGTCAAAGTGCCGCCCTCCGCAGTCTTCGTAAAGCTCCTTGAAGTCATTGCGACGCCCTCTGAAGTCATAGCGCCGCCATCTGAAGTCATAATGCCGCCCTCTGAAGTCATAGCGCCGCCCTCCAGTCTTCGTGAAGGTCCTTGAAGTCATTGCGCCGCCCTCTGAAGTCATAACGCCGCTCTCTGAAGTCATAGTGCCGCCCTCTGAAGTCATAGTGCCGCCTCTGAAGTCATAGTGCCGATCTCCGGTTGTCCCGAAGTGACGAGACTTTTCCCACCTTGTCCGAGTAAATAAGGCGCTTCAAATATTATCCAGCATAAAATTAGTTGTTGAATCCGGTGTCAGACAAATTTGCTGTTTCACTTTCTCATTTTGGTGCCAGTGTTTACACGGCCAATAGCCATTCGTCTAATATAGTAGGGCAGGTCATCAAGTGGCGTATTAATATGTTGGAAAGCGGAGGAGGCCAAACATGGAAATTAAGAAGGGGTCTTATCTTAACTTTAGGGGCCCCAGTGGTAACCTACTTTACCCGAGCCCGGGTGCGGTTCTTAGCCAACTTTGCCAATTTTTTCCCTCGCATCCGGGCGCATAGCTCGTGAACCGTCAGTGTTACAGCGTCACGGAACAATGCATTTGATAGATCCTTGGAAGCTCCCTCTGCGTTGTCCTTAGATTCGAGCTCAGTTCAACAATTTGGCCCACACTGAGAGCAAAAACTGCCAAAATAGACGGATCTTTCAGAAGCATTTGTTCCATTTCTTTACGTATATCTACTCACTCCACGTATGGTAGGCACAGTTTATACCGTAACTGTGTCTCTCGTATCGAGAGGCGTTAAATTATCTATAGTAGGACCTATAGTCCTATGACCTTGTGGCGCGCTAGCGCCGGTAATTTAGCTGCGGCGTGTCCGCCCAGCCCGGCCGCCCTTTGCGCCGCCAATCGCCGCCCCGCGCAGTGTTTACTATTTTATCAAGAACGTTTGTTTTCCTCTTTTATATTATTGTAAATTCGTTATTATCGTCACTTCTGTTTTATAGTTTTCAACCGAATTTAATATTTGTCCTTGCTTTAATTTGTTGTAATTTCTAGATCGACTTTTTGCCGTTCCCATATACTTGATTCGTTTTTGATTATGTAAAAAGTGTTTTAACCCTCGCCCGTAAACGGCGATCTGCCACCTTCGCCCATGCAGGGGGGGGGGGTTGGTGCGACCCCCCCTTGGCGTTTGAAAACGGAGCGTCGTAGAGCTTAGCGGAAAAGACCAACGGAGTGCTCTCGCCGAGATCTCGCGATTGGTGGTATATTTTTGGTCCTAGGTCAACATTTGACCTACTTTTGACCGGTCAAAGGTCAAATTTTCGGAAAAATAGATTTTTCAACTTTCCACGGCGATTGCGGCAAAACGGTGGAAGATATCGACTTGAAACCTTCACTATCGTGTTCCTTGATCAATTCTCTATCGTTTGGTATGTATTTCGTCTCCCTAGCTCTAAAAATGGCGCGTTGGGGGCGCCGGAAGTCGGCAAGGTCACAGTCGGCGGCAGAAATTCGAAAAATCAAAATTTAAATTTTTGAAATCTGATTGTATTTTTGGATTTGGGAGGTCCATTTGCTCCCTATAGAAGTTAATATTGCTGCATATTCCCATTGAGGTGACAAGAATTAGCAAAATAGTGGTTCGGGCGCTTTTCAAAAATAGTACCGGACGCTGTTCCTCTTGTGACATCATAGCTCCGTGACCTGACCTGACCCGGTCAAGTTTCTTATACCATATGATAGCCAATACTTGCTCCAACATGCATGAAAAGTTTCATCACGATCCATCAACCGATGTCCGTACCACCGGCAGGAAACCTCGGGCGTTGGCACTAAGTTTGTGAAAATCCGGCCGGAGGCTGTTCCCTTTGTGACGTCATAGCTCCGTGACCTGACATGACCCGGTCAATTTTTTTTATCAAAAGATGTGCAAGGTTCGCCCCATAAGGTACCAAAAATTTGGCGGCGCTGCGCGCCGCCGTTTTTGCACTATTTCCGAAAAGCCTCAGGGGGGGGGGGGTTGCACCCCCCCCCTACATGGGCGAGGGTTAACTTTTGGCAGTGTAGTTCCGCCCACGTTGATTTCCTGTTCTGACCTGTTCGTTTTGATCTCTATGGTTTTTGGCACGTGCTCTCAGTTCAAAATATAAATTTAGTATCCGTACGCAGAGTGTCAGAGAGGCTGAGTATTTCGACGAGTTCCTAGTTTTATTTCTCACGTTTTTCTCCCAGTTTTAACCCATATCTAACCATCGTTCCGCTGTTTATTTTGTTCTTTCATTGTGGGTAATTTCCTTTCCTCCGAACACGCCCCTATTTACCCTGAGACCCACAACCTATAGTCAGTTGCATGCTCTAACCGAAAAAGGTCGTGCTGTACGTAAACTGATCTGTGTTGTTGGGCTGAAGGCATTACCTACATAATACACTCTTTCATCACTCCACCATGTCTTCTTGTAAAGCCATTGCCGAATTTTTTGGTGCCTTTGGTGACCTTTCTAGTGACTTCTACAGGCTCCTGCACAGAGCGGTAGAGGCCATGCTGGTCACTGAGAGGTCACGGTGGTCATAGGTCGGTCTCTGAGAGCTCCATGTCGTCGACCTCTGAGGACCCTACACAGGCTTCGGAGGCTCCACATCGGCCCCTGTAGATCCTATCTCCGGTCTTAGATCCCTGAGGGCTCAAGATGGTCCCCAAGAGCCCCACGTCAGCCTCAAAGAGCAGATATCGATCTACCTAGAGTCTTGCGCTGGTTGAGGGCTGATACCCTAAGCTTTAGGAGGGTCCAACTCGGGCTATGAATTCCTCTGATGGCTCCATGTCGCCCTCCGGGGCCTCAGTCCGACCTCTAAGGCCCAATCATGCATAAGTGGTGAATTCTGGCTGTCGAAGCCTCTAATGTGGCCTCTGATGGCCCAGCGTCAGTCTATGAAGACCCCGCGCTGGCTTCTGAGGACTCAGCAGTCAGCACCAATCTCAGTTTTCAGAAGACAGAGGGCCCCACGCTGACCTCAAGAGTGTCCAACGCTGTCCACAGAGGGCCCCCACACCGACCAAAGAGGGCACCAGGCCCACACTGGCCTAAGAGGGCCCAAATTGTCATCATAGGGCCCTATATGGCCTCAGAAGGTCCTACCCCTTTGGTCTTACCAGGCCTACGTGCGGGCTTTTTAGTTTTTAACCCCACACGCCCCCCCCGGCCCCCACATTTGGCCTTTTAGGGTCCCCAAAGCGGCCTCTGAGTGCCCCATGCTAGCCTCCGAGGGCTCGTCCTGGGCCTTCGAGCGCCTTACGCTGGCCTCTTAACCCCTCGGTAGAAGTAGGTGTACGAATACTTATGTTTGGGCAGAAATTTTGTATCCTAGCCTGTGCATGTTACCTACATGCAGTGTATACGGTATATGTATGTTACGTGGTGTCATTCTGGCTTCTGAGGTCTGGTTTGCCCCCTAGTCGAAATTCATTAGCCAAGACCCTGAGATACAGTGCCGCCCTCTGAAATGAAAGTAGCTCCCTCTGAACTCGTAGCGACGTCTCTGAAGCCAGATTAACCCCTTCTTAACCCTCGCAGGCCGAGAGAGGAGGGGGGGGGAGGGGCACCCCTTTCGATTTTTTTTTCGTGACTGCTCCGGAGCCGTTTTCGATAGAGAGCTGAAACTTGGCCTACGTGAGACCCCATCCAAACCAGACCTTATGACACCTGATTCATTTTCAGGTTAGTTCAGGTCCATAGGTGGTAATTGTGCCGAACGGTGGGTGCTCGGGCGCAGCAAATCCGCCGCCGCCCTAGCGGTGACCTTGACCTCTACAGTCTGTTGCGGCTTCAAAGCCAAGCCGGTGTGGAATTGGGAGAGCTCGTGCACTCACAGTTCAGCACAATTCTCGACCTATGGTCAGGTCACTGACCGATGCATAAACCTCTAAAGGTTTTAAGTAAACCTCTGTGTCTGCACTGTCAAAAAATGTCGCAACTTCGCAACGCCGCCAACGCCAGGCAAAGTGTCGGCGAGGATGATGACACTTTCAGAAAGTAACAAGCTCCCGGGTACTCAT